ACGTTAGTGTAGTGTGCGATGACGACAACTTTGACTTTTAGTGTTATTGTTTGAAAATTCATTTTGAATAAATAAATTATTTTTAATTGTTTTGTTTTCTATGATATCCATTTTAGAAAAGTATTTATTATTGAAAGTTGTATTATTATTGTTATAATACGTACTATTTTGGTCGCGACATGATTTATTTAAATGTCATTACTTGTGATAAAGAGCTGGTAAATTATTTTGCTTGTTCTTCTTGTCAGCTCAAAGACGTCCTGAGCAAGTGGTAGAGAAAAAATTTTGGTCGGTTTAAAAGTGCACATTTTCAGTTCATTTCAGAAAAATAAAAATACTTCATCCGAGTTACTAACTATACCTTATCTAAAATAGTATATATTTTTATATTATTTTTTTAAACGCATTCGATTTTTAGTCAGTATGTCTGTTTGAAAATATGTAAAAAGTTTTTCGATGCGCAGCTGTTCGATTCACGATTCTATTATAATACAATATTGCCTATATCTATGCAATAATCCGAAGAGAAAATACCACGAGGCCGTTAGCTAAAACAATGGTCCAGACAAGTCAGAGGCCATCTGACTCCTGATTCATCTGATAAGCATGATCCTCTAGCCAGAGAAAAAGATTCACTGTTGTAAAATTATATATCAATCACGTTTTTGTTAACTTCAGTGAAGCATCGCCTTTGGGACCACAACCGCCATCAGTGCGCTAAATACAAGATATTTTATTTTAATGAAAGATTATAATATTTATTTTATAGACAACACTAAACTTATCACATTCTTTTTCAATAAAGACACGATGGCGGAATTGTGTTATTTCTAAATAATATAAATAAGTGAACTATGGAATTTCATAAACAATTTATTGGGAAACAAAAACACAGATACTGCGGTGTTGAGTTATTTATTTATGATTATTTTAAATAAATAGTTATGATTTTCTGAATCTGTATAATACGTGATCTTTGCTGTTTGTGACGTCTTATTGCCAATAATTGTTCCCATCTGTCAGCTTCATTCATCATCCATTTGCAAATTTGACTGATATCTGACCCCCCCTAACCAAATTACTTTAAAAATCCTATCATTAAAAAAATAAATATATATAAATATAAACCAAAATACACTTATAATTCTACTGTAAACTGTATCTTGAAAGTGTCAAATTAGAACAAGCGTTAAAAATAAGATAGACAGACGAAATCGACAAAAAAGGTTTATGTTTCTATCAAACCTTGGATAACTGATTTCCACCCCTACGATTGAAATAAATTCATATTCAATCATAAGATCTATATATTTTAAAATTAATATCACCTTTATGTAAATTAATTAGACAACATAACATATATCACTCAAATTCCAAGATGAGTAGCTAAAGCTCTCTTATTACTGAGAATTTATGACAACGAAAGTACCAGAACACCCAAGATAAATAGAAAAATCAATTTTTTACATTGAACCGAAACCGGGAATCGAACCCGGGACACGGTGACGACACTTCGAGACCAGTGTGCAAACCACTCTGTTACGGAGGTCATATCCACTATTTACCGACGTGGTTTGGTTCATTATGAATGTTAAGTAACATATTGAGTTTTATATAATACCTATTAAAAGTAACGCGCCCGTTTCTTAAACGACAAGAAAAAATATAATAAATACACATAAATCATTTTTTATATATGAATTTTTTTTTGTATTCATACATCTCATGCCCAATCATCATCCTTTAAAGTGTAAATTAGTATAGATTTATTTTAGTTAGGTAACTATTTAAAATCACAAAAACATGTTTCGCCTTTGACTAATACGCAGTAAATAGACAGACAAGACAATAAATTAACACTTTATTGCACTCACAGTCGACGATTCAAATACATTTATGGATAAAAATATAATTAAAATTATTTTCTCATAAAAATGCAGAATATCACTATCATCTGGAGTACAGGGGGCCAATTCTACTAAATAAATTTTGTTTCAATCGAATCGAAAACGGATCGAACGAAACTACAGTTTTTAGTGGTTTTTCTATTCTACTAAGCTACTAAGTGACATACGATATAATTCCAGCTAAAATAAAACTGGAATTGTATCGTATGTCACTTTGTAGAATAGGAAAACCATTAAAAACTGTAGTTTCGTTCGGTTTCGATCTGTTTTCGATTCGATTTAAACAAAATTTATTTAGTAGAATTGGCCCCCTGGCCTCCCTTATAGACGGATACAGATAGGGAGAACGGCCACAACGACAACGATGTCAACGACTGCAAATACAGGCAAGGTCACCCATCCTATAACCGGCCTATGCTAACTGTCCTGTACTGTCACTTGGTCTTCTCTCAGAACACTTCATTTAACAAAAAGATAATTTAAAGAAAACAAAAAACCCGACTGCGTAAAAACTAATTTTAAAAAATACATGAAAAAAATTAACTTAAATAAAAACTAAAAAGAAAGAAACAAGCCCAGTAGTTTAGAATTCTGTTAAGTAATACTAAATTACTACACAATTGAAATAGTTTTATAATCGATACACACATAAAACAAATCATAAATTCTAATGCAGAACAGAACGACTCATAGTCAGGGCCCTTGGGAAGACCTGATTGGTAAAATTTAAATGGGCTAAACAACTTTAAATCGTTATATATCCTAAACTATTATTTAAAATTAAAAATGATAAAAGGAACCTAAAGGTGATTTTAAAATACTTATTCAACGACACCCCACTTGACATAGTTCATCGATTGTTCTTTTTCATTTTGACAATATGGCGTCTGGTTGTCGCTGTGGTGAATTTTGATTACTGTCATGTCTTTAGTGACACTCGCACGGTTAAGACGAATCGATTGACCTAAGAATCATCAAAATCGACCTACGCATTTGGTCTCTAGAACACATAGAAACAAACATACATACATAGATTGATAAACACATTACTCTCCTTTGCGTCGCGCAGTCAAAAGGCGCAGGTAAAAAGGACAAAAACATTATGCCTTCATTAAAATATGTAACTGATTAAATTTCGTTATATTTATTTGTATAACATAATATTTTCACAAATTTTTTATTCACATCACAACTATTACACGCACTATTACACGATCTTATAGAGAAATGATTTCCTAGACGAGACTTGAACCTAACCTTGGCATCGCTTGAAACCTATGCAAATTAAGCATTATAATTGCAAATTATCACATATTCTCGGCAATACATCTACTACTTACAATATCATTAAGTCTAGTTGGTTACAAGAACATGTGAATGTTGGAAGCTATGCCATGCCATCAATACGGCGGGAGACCTTGTACCAAGAAGAACCGGCAAGAAACTGTTGATGTATTCGAATACGGCAACCCTCCTACCACGTTATATCTTACGATAAGAAGCTTATCTTTTTGTAAATAAATAAATTGTAAACAGCTTCGAACACTTCGACGAAAGCAGTGCTGTCTTAGCAGATCTTTCACTTAAACTACGAAAAAGTTTAAGTGAAAGATCTGCTATAAAGTTACTTCAGGCAAAGGTAAGTTACTAAATTGATTAAATTAATATCACAGTGGTAATATTATGTAATAAAAAGCGTTTGATGTTAATTAAATATGTGACCTGATTTTATAAATATAAAAAAATACATTTTTATGATCGGCTCAATAAATATCACATATATATACGAGTACATATTATCTCGGAATAGATATTTCAATTTTTTTTACGTTGAAACATTTCTTCAGTTTTAACAACATAAAACATAGAATTTTATTCACTAACTTTGTTTGAAGATTTTATAGGAAAAGTCAAAAACATGTCTTTATAGGTGGGTATTAATTAGTATATGCCTTAGCACTTCACTTAGCCTTAAGTACGATTTGACTTTGTTCTAATTAAAAATAGGCAGTAACGAGGTGTAGCTCTTAGAATAAACTAAAACATCACAGATGTCACGAGGTCCTCCTGTAATTAGCGTAAGTGTCGTTCCAGTAGAGGATCGTATCTTTGTCCCACAATGGTGCTATTGTAAAATGTTTGTCTATGAGCAGGAGATGCGGATCCTCCTTATCTATGGGCCGCCATTTGGTCGGCGCCAACGACGCAGTTTGCGGCGTGGGGTCCCTGGAAGGAAGCGGGAATTATATGTCATCCATTGTTACCCCGACGCGTGATGGCCTGGAAATGTCCCTCCTACGTATTTTGGGCTACAAACTGGATTGCGTTCCTTTAAAGGCACCAACGTCTCTTTATCTACTTTGTTTATGCTTTCAAGTGTCATTTAGATAATAGAGAATAGAAACGTAAACAAGATTTTATTGGTTTAAAATAAAATTTGAGACCAGTTTTGTAATAAACGATAAACTTTAAGAAAATCTTGGACGTACAAGAGACTTTCTGTGCATTTTTCAGTTATTCCATCCCTTTCTATTGCATACAAACGTCTAGAACCTGATTGCACGTACAACTCGTATACAGTCGTGTATATTCGTATATTGCCGCATGCGACCGATGACCGATTGGTGGAAGCAGTCTCCTTATACAACGTTGTTATTAATGTGCGATAAAGCAGGATAAAACAACAAAAAATGCAACAAATGCTAGGCCTCTCAGATGTCAAATGTTTCATAGATAATTATAAACATTATTACTGCTTACCCATATTTAGCGAAGTTAGTCCACATACTAGTCATTCTCTCTATCATCTCATTCTCCACGTACTCGTGGACTAGTGCAGGAATTTTTATTTTAAAAATATAAAACAACTCATCAGCATGAGTCGCCCCTGGCGCTCCGCTGTACCCAAAAATCTTCTTCACAAAATTCAACCAACCATCGTATGAAAACTTGTAAGAGTAAATAGGCTGCACTGACATCTTACTGATCATATGCGTCGTCATTATTGTAGGGTAACTGATACTCGACTCTCCAACGAAGAAAGAAAATTTCAAAATATTTTTACTTATCTCTTCATTACCCATATAGAGTTCTTTCAATTTTTTTGCAGTTTCAATTTTTTCTTCTTCACTGGGAAACTTAAGATCTCTTGGCATCGCTCCATAAAAACTTAGTTTAGATATTGTCGTATCGTTTTCTTTACCAACAAACATGTAGCCTTCTGCGTTATTGTGCCCTATTATCAGCGGTACTTTACTAAACCTACCATTAACTAGTAAATTATAGGGAGTATCATCCAGAAACTGATCTACCCCAGGCACATTCTTTTCCACGCATGGTACGAATATATTCTCCGACAAAACTATGTCTCCATCATTTCTATGGACTCGAGTTCTCATTAACTCCTCGCCTGTTTTACTCATAAATATCCGGTATAATTCATTGGGATCTTTAGTTTCATAACCCAATCCCTTGGCTAACAATATTGCAGTTTGTAATGGTTCGAATTGAAAACTCCAAGGTGATATCGCTGAACCGCTCTGCATGATTGCTCTTTGGAATAGGCTTTTCGACATCGGTGACAAGAGGTGGTACATCACCGAGGCAGACCCAGCGCTTTCGCCGAATATGGTAACGTTTTCAGGATCTCCGCCGAAAGCCTCAATGTTTCTTCTGACCCACTTCAGAGCGGCCACTTGGTCTTTAAGACCAGCATTTCCAGGAGCTTCTTTGATACCGAGGCAGAGAAAACCCAGGATCTCTAGCCTATAGTTAAATGTAACGAGAATGACGTCTAGTTTGACCAAATATTCTGGACCGTAAATAAATGGAGAACCCGATCCGTCTCTGAAGCCGCCTCCGTGAATGAAAACCATGACTGGTCGGAGTGTCTTAGAGCTCTTTGGTGGTGTATAGATATTCATCGTGAGACAATCTTCTCTCCCTGACACGGTCGTTGTAGTCAATCTCTGGGTGCATCTGATATGTTCGTCCGTCGCCTCAAAAACCCCAGCCCAGGACAGATGGGGATCTGGTGCCTGGAATACACAAAACAAATGAATACGCATTAGTAAATTTTCCTACTCATATTATAAATGGGAAAATTTCTAACGATAGATATGTGCTTATTACTCTTTTACGTAAAACTACTGAACGTATTTTGATGAAATTTGGAAACAAAACCTGAATTGGATCGCCGATAGCATAAGACTATCAAAATACTATTTGTTTTACGTAACTGTGACATATGCTATATGCTTTATAATACAACACTGAATTTTGTTTTTCATGTACTACTTTCAGATTATCTGAACAAAATAAATATCATATAACAACATAAATTCATTAAAATAGTTCTAGTCTACTTAACATGAGTTGCATAATGTCTGAACGTATTAGTGTAATCGTGTTGTTGATACTTGCTTATTTGTTTAACAACATAGAGTTTTCAAATAGATTTTTTCATATTCGAAAAATTATACATTCGCAATAAGTATTTATTTTATAGAAAAATAAACTTTAAAAAGATTGTATGAATTTGCAAGGTCAAATCGATATCCCGGAGTAAACCAGGTTACAATGTCGACCCATGTACATTAACACATGTCTTTATTTAAAACTTTCAATTTACTGAACGTGTGCCAAATTATTATAATTATGATTAATTATTTATTTATTTAGACACTTTATGATGTGAAATTTTGATGTGTAAACAAAGTAAAATATACACATGACAAAGGAACAGAAATTAACAATAGATGTGCAATAATAATCACTGAACAAGGATCTCTTCTTGGCAACCATTTACTGAATTAAAATTAACTTATGCTTATAAATAATTGTGAGCCATAACATAAACGATTACATTCTAACGATATATGAAGATGTAACGGTGTGCCATGCCACCGTTTGTTTTCCTAGGTTTCAGTATGCAAACTATTTGTTTTTGAAATTTAACATCATTTCATTTTATTATTCGTCTTTCGTAATTTAAAATTTTGACTAATCTATTATACTCTTTATGGATGTCAGTTCGTAAGAAATTCTCCTATGCACAAGATGAAATTATAATACAATACAATATTAATGGTATAAATTTTACTATGTTTCTTAAAATAATTCATTAAATTATTAAATAATAATTCATTAAAATAATTCATTTATTGTGATAAATAATGTGATATGGTGATACAAATTATATAACATATGTAACTACTAAATTGTAATCTGTATTTTGGAAGATCCAAAAGTTAACTAGAAGCCCGACAAGGGGTATGTATTCGTTTATTTGATAAGTATGTATTAGTTAAGTAACTTACGAACTGTTTTTATAAATTTATTTTTGTTTGTTACAGTTTTTCTTATTACCCTTATTTAACTAATAAATATATACTCAAGCTAAGCAGCCTTATTAATTGACCCAAGCACCGAACCCGTAACACTGGCGCCCAACGTGGTTGAAAAATAGGCTGACTACTGCAATAGAAGACAATAGTGCACACTTTACGACCAACACCACAAACACATTTACTCACATAATCAGACAATAGACGTTCAGCGTTACTTTGGCTGGTCACAAATGTGATCGGTTCTGATGCCATTGTATCGAGGAACATACAAACACGTTCTCATCATAGTGTTATAAACCGGAAAATTTTAATAGTAAATAATTTAATTTAGATTCTGTATATATAAAGGTATGTAAGCTATTTTTATTTTTTTTCAAAAATTTTATGAGATTTCTTTTTGACAAATAATATTATTTTTAATATTTAAAAAATAGAATATTGTAATTTATTTTCCGTTTACGATTTGACATTCATTTCTTTTATAATAATCAATTTTAATCATGGATATATTGTACTTGAATAAACCAGAAATTATTTATGAACTGAAATTACGAAACGCGAATTTTGAATCCACCCAAACGGCTCAAGAATTGCGTGAAATTTTATTACCAATGATAGGAGACCCTACTAACTATCCTCCTTTATCATTTAGTCCGATCGAATTCAGTATTAATGTGAGTGAAATCAATAAATGTTTAGATTTGATTTCAATCACATTATCTTCTTATCCAACTAGGAAAAATAAGATTAAACCCTACCTAATTCATATCAGAAATAGATTGTCTCTAATAGAATTGACAACAGAAAATACAAACGAGGATATCACCACAATAAAAAATTTATTTGATCGTTTACAACAATATGAAACAAATTATCAAAATCTAGAATTTACTCCACCAACTTCTACATATCATTCTGCAGTTTCTGTACAACAGACTAGTGCTGTACAACCTTTTTTAGAAAACCTTACCCATACGTTAAAGTTTAACGAATAACAAATCAAATTTAGAAATTAAAAAATTTAACTATTCCGGCGATGGCTGTCCTCGAGATTTTTTACAAAAGGTGGAAGAATTTGCAACAGCTAGAAATATCAATTTTATTTCATTACATAACCATATTTATGATATTCTATCTGGAATAGCTCTTGAATGGTACAGAGCCAATAAAGAATCTATTCCAGATTGGGATACATTTAAAATTAAATTTTTAAAATATTTTGAAATTACCGATTACGATTACAAACTAAAAAAATTTATTGATTCTCGTAAACAAAAACACAATGAACGTATTATTATTTATTTTGCTACAATGGAATCCTTATTTTCTAAACTACATGAACCTCTTACCGAGAAACAAAAAATTGAAATTTTACGAAGGAATTTGAAACCTGAATATGGTCAACGACTTTTACCACAAGATTTACAATCTATCAATACTTTAATTGAATCTTGTAAGTGGTATGAAAACTGCTTACAGGTTTCAACTGACGAATCACTGAATTTTTCTGATATTTTACCAAATTATAATAAACCCAATAAAAACTTACATAATTTTTACGATTTACCCCCCAATACTTCTAACAATAATTCTGCTCAAGTTTATGCTGTTTCTTCGAAATCTATTACTACGAAACCTGTTATTGAACAACAAACAATTACTTGTCCTCGTTGTCGTACCAACGATCACACTCTTTCTAATTGTACTAGCACAAAGAAGGTTTGTTTCCGCTGCGGTAAACAAGATGTGATTTTTACTAATTGCCCAATATGCAAAAATTCAAAAAACTAATTAAGCAGGAACGTGGAAATTCTTATTTTGATCAAACCGATTGGAACAATTGGCTCAATACTATTAAAATTTATTTTAAATCTTACAAAACTTCTACGTTCCTTTTTAATAATAATACAGATACAGAACGTCCATATATAAAAATAAAAGTGAACAATTTGATTTTAAATGGTTTATTAGATAGTGGAAGTGCTATTACAATTTTGGGTAATAATGCTCATAAGCAGCTTTTACAATATGGTTTTACAATTCATTATAACAATATTATTCAAGGTACCGTTGCAAACGGTGAACGCATACATTCTATTGGAACAATAAAACTACCAGTATTATATAAAAACAAATTTTCTAATGTTACTGCACATATAATACCAAATATTACTGAATCTTTAATATTAGGTGTTGATTTCTGGAAGACATTCAATTTAGCTCCTCATTTATTTTCTGATATTACTATACATAAACATGAAAATTTACCTACCTTTCTAATTAATACTGATTCTATACATTTTAATACTTTTAACAATCTTACTGAATCCCAACAAGCTATAGCAGATACTATGATTCAAAGGTTTAAAAATATTTCTACTGATATCTTACCATTAGGCAAAACACATTTGGCTGAACATTATATAGACACAGGCGATCACGCTCCTATACGACAGAAGTGTTATCGCTTGTCTCCAGAAAAACAGAAGGCACTACGTAACGAAGTAGACAAGATGTTGGAACTTGATGTCATTGAACCATGTGAAAGTCCATGGCTTAACCCTGTGATAATTACACCAAAAAAAGATGGCACATGGCGTTTTTGTGTTGATAGCCGTAAATTAAATTCTATTACTAGGAAAGATGCCTACAAATTACCTTACATTTCCGATATTATCGATAACCTTAAGGATGCTAAATATTTATCTTCGATTGATATTGCTAAGGCCTTTTGGGAAATTCCTTTACGTTTAGAGGATCGTCCAAAGACTTCCTTTCACGTTCCTGGCCGCGGAACATACCAATTTAAGGTCATGCCCTTCGGATTGACCAATGCTCCAGCTACTCAACAACGATTTATTGATAATTTACTTTCAAATGATTTTGACAATACTGTCTTTTGTTACCTTGATGACATTGTCATCGCCACAAAAACGTTCGAGGAACACATTAATTTATTGAATAAAATTCATACTAAGTTACTTTCTGCTAATATTACCGTTAATTATCCTAAATGCGCATTTTTCCGTAGTGAATTGAAATATTTAGGTTATGTTATCAATGAAAAAGGGTTACAAACTGATCCAGATAAAATTAAGGCAATTTTAGATATACAAACACCCAAGACTGCAAAAGATGTAAAGAAATTTTTAGGTACAGCGAGCTGGTATAGACGTTTTATACCAAATCTAAGTACTTTAGCTGCTCCACTAAATAATCTTACGTCAACAAGTAAAAAAGCACCTCCTTTTAAATGGACATCAGAAGCTGACGATGCTTTTACTCAGATTAAACAAGCTTTAGTTTCCACACCAATTCTAACTTGCCCAGATTTTACAAAACCTTTTGCAGTTCACTGTGATGCATCAGCATATGGCTTAGGTGCGATGCTCACTCAAACTTTTGAGGGAGTTGAAATACCTATTGCTTATATGAGCAAATCATTATCCAGTGCCCAAAAGAACTACTCTATTACAGAACGTGAACTACTTAGCGTAATTACTGCCTTAGAACATTGGCGTTGCTATTTAGATAACGGCCAAAAATTTACCATTTATACCGATCATTCTGCACTCCAATGGTTTTTACATTTAGATAATCCAACTGGTAGACTAGCCAGATGGAGCATTCGTCTTTCAATATTCAATTTCGAAATCAAACACAAAAAAGGAAAAGAGCATTTAGTTCCAGATACATTATCGCGTATTAAACATATAAACGCTATCAATATTACCGAAACTTCAAATATTAACGACGATTGGTACAATCAGTTATACTTAAGATGCCAGTCTAATCCTACATCTACGCCAGACTATATTTTAATAAATAATAAATTATTTAAATACGCTCGTAGCACTACACCATTTAACGCCGAATATAGTTGGAAAGAAGTGATACCGTTTGATCTCAGAAACAGTATCATTTCACAAAATCATTCTACGCCCACGGCAGCTCATTTTGGAACTTTTAAAACGTACCATCGAATTAAAGATAAATATTACTGGCCCGGAATGTATAAAGATATAGCAACCTTTATTTCTAAATGTGATACTTGTGCAGCTTACAAACATCAAAACCAACACACAATTGGTCTTATGGGTAAACCAAAATATTGTTCTCGTCCTTTCCAGTGCATATCAATCGATTTGATTGGCCCTTTATCAATTTCTCATAAACTTAACAGATTTATATTCGTAGTTACCTGTTGTTTTACAAAATATTGCCTAATTTACCCTATCAAACGCGCTACTTCTTCTATTATTAAACATATTCTCGACAATTTAGTATTTATGACTTATGGAATACCTGAAACTATAATTTTAGACAATGGCCCTCAAATGATTAGCCAAGAACTCAAAGATTTATTTAATTTTTACAAGATACCCAAAACATATTTCACTCCCAGGTACTGTCCACAAGTAAATACAGTTGAACGTTATAATAAAACTATAGTTACAGCAATCTCATCTTTCGTTGATGATGATCACCGTACATGGGATTTATATTTAAATAAAATCCAATTCGCAATCAACTCTGCCGTCAACGAAACTACTAAATTCACGCCAGCATTTTTAGTATTCGGACGTGAATTAGTTACCTGTGGTTCCATATACAATACAAAAGATCTAACTGAAGAAATAATTTTTGCTCCAAGAGACGTATATGCTGAAAACATTGGCTCCTTGATCCCAATTTTTTCAGATGTACAATCACGACTTCACAAAGCACATAAAATTACAACGAAGTATTATAATAAACACCACCAACATCTTGAATTTGAAAAAGGCAACATAGTTTGGAAGAAAAATTATCCTATTAGTTCTTCAGATAAATATTTTTCATCCAAATTAGCATCTAAATTTACAAAATGTATTATAACTAACAAAGTCAGTCCATTAATTTACGATTTAGCAGATTTGTCAAATAAACCTTTAGGACGCTGGCACATTCAAAATATTAAACCCATATCTATACATTATTAATCTATTTATTGTTACCAATTATTACTTATTGATTTATTGTTAGTACCCTGTAAATACTCATAACGTTTTTCATTTAATTATTTGGCTACTCATACTTATTGTTATTTTTATTGTCTTCATAATTTATTATTTTCATCTAGTGCGGTTGACAACACTATAAATAAGCCAATGTCAAAATACCAATTTAGTGCGGATGACAACACTATAAACAAGCCAATGTCAAATATCAATTTTAAAGTGCGGTTGATAACACTATAAATAAGCCAATATCAAAATATTTCTTTGTGTACTTATGTATACTTATTTACTTACTATCTAACACTACATAATGTATTGTTATACCTAACGCATTACCTACTTTATTTACTACTACGATTGTATATTAGTCTACACTCTACATTTAGACACTTACACAACACACTCATCTACACTCAACAACACTACACAATTCACCTAAAGTCAGCGGGTGGTGACTGACATTATTTTAAAGAAGCCTACACTATTTTCTGGGTCGATTTATTAGAGATAATCTTTCTTAAATACAAGTTACCTCTAATCGCTAGGAATTTTTATCTCAATAAGATAAAGATTGTTTGAATGATGAAGTAAGAACATTTTATGAAAGGGAAATCGCCTAATGTAATTTATCCACTATATATACCATCCCCATTTCTAAATTAAATCATGATAGCATTAATAAATCACATTTTATATAAAATATTTTAAGCTTGAGTAATCCAAAAATATCTAAAATAAAATCTTTCAGATTTTTTTTTAACCCCGGCCCCCCCGGTATTGTAACGGTGTGCCATGCCACCGTTTGTTTTCCTAGGTTTCAGTATGCAAACTTTTTGTTTTTGAAATTCAACATCATTTCATTTTATTATTCGTCTTTCGTAATTTAAAATTTTGACTAATCAATTTTACTCTTTATGGATGTCAGTTCGTAAGAAATTCTCCTATGCACAAGATGAAATTATAATACAATACAATATTAATGGTATAAATTTTACTATGTAATTTTAAAATAATTCATTTATTGTGATAAATAATGTGATATGGTGATACAAATTATATAACATATGTAACTACTAAATTGTAATCTGTATTTTGGAAGATCCAAAAGTGTAACAAGAAGCCCGACAAGGGGTATGTATTCGTTTATTTGATAAGAATGTATTAGTGTAAGTAACTTACGAACTGTTTTTTTAAATTTATTTTTGTTTGTTACAGTTTTTTATTATTACCCTTATTTCATCAATAAATTATACTCAAGCTAAGCAGCCTTATTAATTGACCCAAGCACCGAACCCGTAACAAAGATACGACGAGATTTATGAGGAGAGCAAGGATAAAATTTAGGTATCTTCTTACAAAGAATTCCATCATAAAGCGTATATGGTAAACGAATGACTGTAGAATTTTGTCCGGTTCCGAGGGACCGAGAGGAGTCAGATATACGAACAGGAAGGTCATGCGGGAACGATAAGAACTTAAACCATTATTTAAGATTTAAAGAACATTGCGGATTGAACAAAATAAAGAAGAGAATGAGGAGAAGGCTGGAGGAGACTATACAAATCTATGTTTTTAAAATTATGAGGTCTTTCCATACAAGTAATCGTAGCCTTAAAGAAATAACTTTGACAGTATGAAACCTTGTTGTTGTTTCTTTAAATAATGGTTTTTTTTTTTATAGATAGCTTTGAATCGACTTTAACTTCTTTGGAAAGAAAATGGTTTCACACACTATTCATGATCTACCTCGTATTCAACGATTCAAACATCTGTATTGTTAGTGTACCCACCTGGAACCTGTTCGGTACAGTAGCGTACGGCACCCCCAGGTACTGCACGTGTGTGCCGGCGGGTGCGACCGTGCCCCGTAGCCAGCCGCCGCTCACGCGCACCGCCGGCGTCGGCTGCCGCACCAGGCGAGCCGCCCACAGGGACCACAACACCAACCATTTATTTGACAACATCTCCCACTCACCTGCAATTGAAATTACTATGCAATCGAGATGGAGGTCTATAAAAAATAGTTATTATTTTATCTTAATAGAAGTGAATTTTCATTACTTCTGTTTTCCGAAAACGATATATTTTTGCAACGCTGATGAGACTCCAAAAGACGCATTTTTTGATAATTTTATACTTCCTCTGACACATAGAAAATCTTTACAGATATGATTTTAGCAAAACAATAACGAAATTTTCCGAAATTTTATTCGTGGACATAGTCATCTGTAAATGGATGTACCTATTAATTGTGGAAATTGACGAACTAAAACCATCTCGTAAATTGCCGTAAGCACTTATTTAAATAACTCGCAAGAGCAGTGAGATACTTAATGACAGGACAATTCCCAACGCCAAAAGAAAAAACTAACAAACCTTTAAAAGTTAAAAGGTTCATTTGAGTTACACCTAGATTTTAATTATAACATTTGTCTATTAAAGATATGGTACAAATAATGTCTTCTTTACATAATTTACAAGAATTTCTTACTTGGGTGTAAATTTTTTTGGTACAATAAAATTTTTGGTGATGGATTTATATTTTATTTTAACCCATTGGCTTATTTAGTTTTATAATGATACTGTTTTTTCATTGAAGTAGTTTATATAATTTTATCCAAGCGTTCTCATTTTAATCATATTCAACTTCTCACTAACATTTTCTATTAAATATTCTAATACCGATTGAAGTGTTGGTTTTATCGAGATAAAACCAGACCAGAAACACGATATGTGATGTGTGGTTGCTACGTGAATATAGAAATAGTACCTACGTCCATAAATGAAACAACTTTTAAAAGGTTTCAACGCTTTTTTATTTAGTTTTATTGACGTTTACAGGTTTCGTGTTCACACAAGACTAAGCTGTTGGTTGTCTTTTTAATTAAGAGTATGGCTACCTTCAGAGACCAATGGTATTGGACACATTCACAATACTTTTTTTTATATATTTTGGCAACGTTTACATTTATTTAATTAAATTCAAATATTTTAAAAATACATTTTAATTATTTATTTACCCTTAGCTAACCGTATTCTACTACCAGTTCCAACTTTGGAAGTCACATCTGAGAAGAACTGGCGAAAAAGTGGATTGCTCTCTTTGATTCAACATTCACAGAATGAAAAAATGAAAAAAATGAAAAATGTTTATTTCGTTAAGCATGAGTTTTAACAATAGTCAGAGGCTGACATGCCCCTATTAAATGTAAAATACAATTTTGTGCCAGGAGCAGCCACACTCCCATAACATGCATAGGTTTATTTTTTTTTTCATCTATATTTGTACGTATAAAATTTAAACATTTGTGGGCTACAAGAATTGAATACTAATCATTTATTTCAACAGACTAAGTTCATGTAACAGATCTTGATTAATCTTAAACAAGAACGGTAGGTACAACTTTTAAAATTTACATAGGAACTTCTAACTTAACATCAGGAATTTTGAATTTAAATGAACTAACTGTATCTTTTGGTTTTGCAATGTGTGGTCTGGATCGAGATTTTATTTGACTAATTACTGGATCTCAAGCCGGTGGTATATACCAACCTTCGTCTCTATTAAAATTCGGATGTTTTTTAATTTCAATAGCATTTCGTATCAGTCTAGCAATGAATTTTTGTTCAGCCGCAAGTATTTTTGTCAAATCTTATGTAATGCGTGGAAACATAAGAAATCAACAAGTATTTACGTCCATCAAACCAAAATAACCAGACTAGCTCGGGGGCGTAGTGGATAAGCGCCGCGGCCCGCGATCGTTGTCGTTAAGCAACTTTCGCAAGGGTCGGTCACGGGATGGGTGACCAAAAAATTATTATCTCGAGCTACTCCGTGCTTCGGAAGGCACGTTAAGCCGTCGGTCCCGGCTGCATTTGCAGTCGTTAATACCCTCCAATCCGCATTGGGCCAGCGTGGAGGGTCATGGCCCATCCTCCTTGACCATCCATAAGGAAGGCCTGAGCCCCTACAGTGGGGACGTAAAAGCGCTGGTGATGAAGCCAAAATACGTAAGTCACTTGACGCGGCCCTGATCAACGGCTTCACATGTCCTCCGAAGCACGCAGGAGCACGAAAAAATACAGTTTTGGCCACCCATCCTGTGACCGACCCATACGAATGTCATAAATATTCATGATTACTTAAAAACAACTCTCCCTGTCCTCACTACAAAGAAAGCTATATAGCATTGATATTGTAAACAATGACTTCACTATTTTTTCAGTTTCCAATAAAATGACAATCGTTTACTTTCTGCTGTCGCATGAATCATGATTAGTGAATTGTGTAGCACTTAGGAAAATTAATAAAATATTTATTGGAACAAAATATTATGAAGAGATATATTTTTACGTTAAGATAATAGTTAACGAAAAAACTATTTTGTTTCGTTTATTATCACTTTTTTTAGAAGTCGGTTTTTAAAATAACAATTAAGAAAATAACATCTCACAAATAGAATTAACATAACCAAAATGTACCTCATATAGTAATTATTATGTGCATAATATATAGTACCTATGTTGAAGTTTGTAACTCTTATCGGTCACAGACAAAGGTCAATGCAATGGGGTCAATGTTCTCACAGTCAGCTGTTGCAACCTGTGCCAACAGTGGACTTCTTAATAAAACTTTAACAACCAGTGATCTTGGTGTGTTTCACAAAATTTGGAAAACGCGATTCAAAATGAATAATTGTATAGGAATTCACCTTTTTTCAAAATACTGTAATATTAATAAATGTAAATAAATACTACTAACCAATTTTATTACGAAGCAACATTATTTTTTATTTGTTTGTAATTGACAAACTCAACTTCTGGATAGAAAATTCTTTAACTACATATAATAAAACCTATAATAATACATTTCTCAACCAGTAAAATAGGATATTAAATAAAAAAAAAAGATATAATTACACATACATACATTTAAATTTATATTAATTATAACAACAGTAAAGTTTACAAATTCTAAAGAAAAATGACTTTTCATTAGATACATATAGTTACGCCTGTTTTATTTCCAGGCTTAATTGGATTATAACAATATAACAAACAAACGTGGGTAGGTCTACCTCAGTTAAGTTTAAGTTGAAAATTCTCTGGTTACTAAAATAGGATAACACCTTATACATATCAATCTTAGAAGTGTAAAAACTGTTTCTTTAAACAAAAATTTACATTTATTTTAATAAAAATAATTTATGTAAGTGTATATATAATCAATAAATAGTGTCACATTGTGTCGGTATATTGTTAATTTATAAATTATGTTTAATGGTTAGTTAGGCGGGTTATTGTATAAGTTAAAATTGATCGTAAAGGCAATAAAGTAGATACGGTGCAAGACATACCTAAAGAGGACTTAACCTTCATTCAATACTACGAAAATTAAGAAGAACTTAATTTATCAAATGTTTTTAAAAAAAAAACGTACACACAATAGCGAACGTTATTTATAATAACTAACAGAGAGGCGAGAGTTAATTTACATTTATAAAAAAAATGTTGAACAAAAAACAAATCTTTGTGAAAAAAAAAACATCTGCAGAAATATAAAATTGACAATAAAAAACAATAGACCTTTCTTACTACTACAGATCGAAGATGATAAAATATTAAAAGAAATGTTCACTACTTTCCACTTTTTATTAAACACGGGAACTGTCACATGGTCACATCATAATGAAATCTTTCGATAAAATATGTATCTTTGACCATATTTCTACTTTCACATTGGCTCACGCACGCGCAATAGACCGCCGCTCCGCGCCCGGCCGGCCGGCGTATACGCGGCGGCATGTTCCGCGAGGTAACTAACCTAAACTGATATAAGGCCGTGTTCACTTTGTGAGATAAGAGTCGTGCGTGGTCGTGCGAATTGAATTGTATTGAATGTAGTCTATACATTGGTAGCAAAAGCACAGTTCACTGACCGGGCTGTCAAACTCGATCGCTGTGAAACTAACGAATGTCGCTAATTTGATAGTGGCACTTGGTACGTGCCTAACAATTAACAATATACCCTATTGTAGAGGCTTGCAATAATCGTTAACTTACGATCGCTATGAGTAAGCGACCGAATTCAGTAAGATTGCGATCGCAAACTCTGTCAACACTGCAGCCCTTTTTCACCCTCAAATAACCGTGTTCCGATGATACCGCATTTGTCTTTGATTGGAGAGTAGTGAATATATTTACTATTTAATTCTCTTATACTGCGCCTGCGTAGTATATGTGTGAAATAGCTCTCTCTATGTTAATAGGCAGGTACACATGATGGTGAATAGCGAAACAAATCTGTTTAATAGTTAATCGCATTGCTTAAACTATTACGATAGTTGTAAAAGTGCCGCATATTCCATCTGCTGCAGACTCACTAACATAATAACCATAATTCCCTTTCAAAAATTTGAACCAGATTGGGAAAAAATATGATTTTTTAAGGTAACTTTGTGATTTATCGCATTGGAAAAATTTTATAAATTCCCGTTTTTGCTATATATATCAGAGTGGTAAGTGTAAGTTTTACGTTAACGCGTTCACTAGTGAGCGCGTTAAGAATTTGTATGGAGATTTATACTTCTTGGTAGTTACCGCTAGAGGCGCTGTACCGGATTCTATACTAAAACCTTAACGCGCTGACGATCGACAGTGAACGTAAACATCAAAAAAACTTACACTAAGCATTCAGACCCCACGTAAAAATATGATGTAATTTCGTTTGCTGCGAATTTTACAATATTACGGAAAACTTATGTAGTAAACCATATATGTACGACTACTTTAAGCTCTGCGTTAACACTCACATAGTGTACAAAGATCGGTATCATTCGGGCGTTGTCGTTTATATTCGTACGAGAAAAATAGAGTATCAAAACGCGTCTAAAGCAAATCCAAAGTGAGCGTGGCCTTACACTACGTTTGCTTATTAGCTGCTTCAAAATACGACAAGTGGGATTATTGACAAGTATTTAATTTAGAATTGGCATTTGAAAACAACAATGAGAAAATTTTAAATTATCGCAGTAAATAGCTTTTTTTATTAGAAAGCATCTTCTTTTTCTTGTAAAACTATTATGACTTTTCGAA